CGGGTGTGCTCCTCCGGATTTGCCTCTGTCGGTGTGCTCCTCAAGATGTGGTCCTCGGGGTTATGAATTGCAACGGAAAGAATGCTATGCCTTGGACTGTTCGAAACGTTTAAGAGGTCTCCTGTGTGTGGCCTTTCTTTGCACACGTCTGATAAGGAACTCGCTCGCATGTTCATAGGGCTTTGAAACTGCTTTGTAAATAAATGGGTATGCATATATATGTATGTATGCATATGTATCCTCCCTTCCCTCCCCCTCCTCTCCCCTCCTTCCCTCCCCCTCCCTCCCTCCCTTCCCTCCCCTCCCTCTCCTCCTCCCTCCCCTCCCTCTCCTTTCCCTCCCCCTCCCTCTCCTCCCTCCCCTCCCCTCCCTCCTTCCCTCCCCTCCCTCTCCCCCTCCCTCCCCCCCCTCTCCCTCCTTCCTCCTCCCTCTCCCTCATCCCTCTCCCTCCCCATTCCCTCCTCTCTCTGTCTGTGTATATGAATCGTGAGCCACACAGGGACATTAATATAGGGGTGAGGATAACCTAAGTTACCTCATTCCTTGAGATGTTTTTTTTGTTTTTTTTTTTTTTGTCTCAATAAATGTGCCAGTCAAAAGTCACACACACACACACACACATTATTTTATATATAGACCCACACTTATATATATATATATATATATATATATATATATATATATATATATATATATATATATATATATATATATATATATATATATATATATATATATATATATATATATATATATATATACACAAGTAAATGTATATCATCATCATCAACCTGTATCAGTCCACTGCAGGACGTAGGCCTCTCCCAATCTTTTCCAGTTGTTCCAATATATTTTTTGCTTCCAATCTTCGACCCTAAATACCGTTATTTCGTCACGCCATCATTCACTGGTCTGACCCTTGGCCTTTTTATGTTATCTATATCCCTGTCTGTTCTTTTGTTTTCTCATCTGTCTTTTTCCTGTTCATCTTAAATTCAACTTTCAGATTCTCTATTCAGACCGTTTATCAATTACTGCAATTAATTTGCTGACTAGCTAAAGAGAACAAAATCGTCTGCAAATCTTAGATTGTTTAGGTGTTCGTCCCCTATTCTGTTTCCCTTTCCGTTCCATTCTAGTTTCTTGTATATTTCTTCAAGGCAAGCTGTAAACAGTTTGGTGAGATGGTGTCGCCCTGTGTAATACCTTTTTAAAATAGGTTCTTGGATGGAGCTTCGTGGCTGCTCTCCCATTTTTATATATCTTGTAATACTTTACAATGGATCTCCTCTACTTCTTGTCTTCGAATAGCGTCTAATTCTGCTATTATTTATATAGAGTCAAAAGCTTTAGTTGTATTCGATGAATGCCATACACAGAGGTTTCCTATATTCATTACTTTTCTCTCTTATTTGGGTTAGTGTGTGGATGTGGTCTGGTGTTGAGAATCCACTGTGGAAGCCTGACTGTTCTCTAGGCTGGTTAGAATGTAGAGTGTCAGAGATGCGAGTTGTAATGATTTTTGTGAACAGTTTGTAAATGAATGAAAGAAGGTTTATGGGTCGGTAGGTTTTAGGTTCCTTCTATCATTTTTTTATGTATCAAAATAACTTTTATTTTCTAGGCTTTCGGAGATTTGCCGTTGATAAGACATTTGGTGAAAAGATTGGCTAGTTCCACTGTTCCACTATACTAATTCCGGCTTCTAGTGTTTTCCCTCTCTTCATGCCTATAAGCGTTTTTTGTATTTCTTCGGTTGTGATGTTTGGTACATCTCTAATTACCGCGATTACTTCTGTCCGTGGTTGTTCATCTGCGTTATATAAATCCCTGTAAAAGTCTTCCACTATTTTAATTATTTCTTTCTTGTTATATGTCACTCCTCGGTCTGTTTGTTTTTTATTTCATACATTTAGTTTCTCCCTATTTAAAATCTGCTTTTAGCTGCTTTCATACTGGTACATAAAATCACCATTTCATTAATTGTGAGAGTATTGAATTTTCGTACAACCTCCTTTCTATTTATAGTCTTTGTTAGATCAGCTAATTCTGTTTTGTCTCTGTCTGAAGGTTTTTTCATGACCCGATGTTTCTATCGAGAGTTTACTTGAGGTTTGCTTGTCGTTTTTACCGCCTACTTCAAGTGCAACTTCCTTTATTATGTCATTGAACTTTTTGTTGATTTCGTCAATGTTAAGATCTTCGTCACTGAGATGGGTGTTTGTTTTGGATTTTAATTAAGACTCAATTCCGTCGGCTTGGACTTCAAGTTTGTTAGATTTGGCTGAGGTTTTCGAGTGAGTTTATTCCTTTCCCTTCTAAGGTGTAATTTAATTTCGCCTTTGACTATCCTATGGTCGCTACCAACATTTACTTTGTTGATAACTTCCACATTTTTACTATATCACCCATATTTGAAGTTATGAAGCCAATTTCGTTTTTGATTTCAGATGGCGACGCCCATGTCCACTTCCGCTCAAGCCTCTTTTCGAAAATGTAT